GTTCGGAGATTGTGCGAAATGCCCGGTGCACTTTGGTACTTCCGCCTAAATTTGCGAGCGTTGAGCAACGGACACAAATCCTCGATATCCCCTCAGCCAGAATCACAGGGGGAGTTTGGTAGTAGTTATTATTTGATCTAGTTCCCAGTGACACGATCAGGCGATCGGGGACTGGTCCCAGGCTGTGTAGGGCGACGGGACCTCAATGTTTTCAGGGGTGTGAGGGGCAGGTGACAGGGGCTGATAGATTTGCGCATATTCACGACATGGAAGTGGGTGCTGCCCCAGTAAGTCTGCTGTTCACGGGACGGTGTATGTGCAATGTTGTGCGGTGGAGTGCGCGCTATGACATCTTGCATAAAATGATTTTCAATCCACAACGTCTCATATCGGCGGTTGTCAGAGCTTGGAATCACGTGTTGGCGTCATGTGTGCTGCAAAAATCGACACCCCGAACAATGACCTCTGACAGTGACGGTTTGCGATAACAAGATCCGGAGAAGCACACCGTGGGTTAGTGTTTTACGGCTCGAAAAAAAAATGATGGTATGTGTAGAGAGTGAATTGATGCCGTTAAAGCTCACACCCCAACCTGTTGACTTACCGTTTTCAGGGATGAGAGGTGGGGATACGGAAGTGCATTGCCCAAAGTTGGAATTGTCGGGTGGTGCGGCAGATAATTCGACCATTCTGGAGTATTCACTGTTTTATCCTTCTCGAGGTATATGTGGCGGAACGCGCTACCCACACAATTTTCCACGGCCCATTCAATTATCACTTCCATGCGAGCCAGGAATTCTACCCGCAAACGATCCCTAGCGTCAAGTCCTACGGAAGCAACTCCTGACTGGCCAATTTTGGACTGATAGCTTGCAGATGTTTCGTACAATCTTCAGCACCGCGCTCGTAGCTGTCCAATGTTCAGGCAATTTCTCGTGCACTGCACGGTAGCACACCACCGGCGACCCTCTTGTAATGCTGTGGCATTCTTCAAACTACCGTCGAATGCACTCATTTTCTTTTCTCGTCTACCCGCACATCAAAAAGCGAACCGTCTTTCGATTTTTGCATCATTTCTTTAGCTACGACACTCATTGGACCAACGCCTCTTTATACCCTCATTGTGGAATTTTTAAGAGCTACTCTTCACATCAATACAACAGCTTGACCAGCGATTGCTCCTGCGTGAAAACCATGGCGAACGTCTGAGACTGCGAAATAGGACAGCCTAGTACCTGGCGGCTTTATAACATGAAATTAACAAAAATTTTAATTACGGTCTTCTTCCGCTTTGCAGTGCATCGTTGCTACTTTTGAAATTACATTTTTTCCTTCGCCATATCGTTCGCCTTCTCAATAACTTCCTTCAAATTTGAACGTCATTTCATGAGTGTTCTTTTTTATAGGTTTTGAAACTTAAACTTTAATTATATCCCCTGTATTTCATTTATGTTAATGATGCGTTGTTCCTAATCTTCGAATTAGATCCCGCTTATTATTTTTGCAACTGTAAAGAATTTTATAAATGACACTTGAACTTCGATTATGTCAAATAGAATTCCTGTGCTGGAACTTCCAAGGATCTACAAACGAAGTAGTTCGATGTCCAACAACAAAAAGTTGAATTGCGCAAAAATGGATAAAGACATGAAGGATCAGGAGGTTAGTGAAAACGAAAAAAATTCGATAACAGTTCGGTGGTATCTCGGCAAGCAATTAACGGGACTTGACACAGCGAACTTTAACTGACAAGAACTTATGTCTGTTATAGATTAAAGAGAAGTATTATCACATAAAACGAAGCAACTTAACACTTACTTGAAGAAATGTTTAATAAAGTACAAATAAATATTAAGCTTTTTTTTTGTAAATTTATATCCTTTAGATCATAATTGTTCTTCATATATTTCATAACTTATACGTTTCAATATTTTTAAAAAAAAAAAAAAATTAATTTTAGAATTCTGCATGCCATCTTACGACCCCCGATGATCTACTCCGGAAAAATCGATAACCGTAATATAATTAACAACTCTAAAAACTAACACCATTTAATCTGTATGTAAATATATGACTATTAGATGTTTATATATATGTATGTAGAATACAAAAAGAAACATTTCCAAAAAGTTTATTTGAAGTTACTTTTATTTTTTAGCAAGTATAGTCAGTCATCTTCTTTGCAAATTATTATGGATATGTAATAATCAGTTGAAAAATAATTGATGAGCATTTGAGTACTAATGAGTGTACACACTTTGTTATTGGGTTAATTCATAATTATATCATATGTAAGATCTACGTAATATAACCATGACTAATAAATAATAAGAAATGTAACAGCTGTACATTTAATAACATACGATTACTTGAAACGGTAAAAGTATAGTTTAGGGCACCCCTTGGCGAAACTTGCCGTACATGGATACCTATTTTGCGCAATTCTTTGACTCGTTATTTTGAGTTGCGCAAAAATTGCCGCTACACAAAGCCAAAATAACAAGACAATTGAACAAACCCGGTATCCATGTATACATCGACTTATTTCCACTTAAAAAAAACTCCCAAATTGCACAAAAATGGCACTGTGCACTCCTTTGACTTTAGCCATGTACACGTCGACCTATTTTTACTTAAAAAAAAAATCCCCGAATTGCACAAAAATGGCATTGGCATTGCCTCTTTTACTTTTATTTGTGGCACGGTAGACCTATTTCACTTAAAAAAATCCCAGAAGAACAAAACTTGCATTGAAACTCCTTTACTTTGTCTTGGTCCATGTCACACAGTGAATATATTTTCACTTAAAAGTCAAAGGAGCACCAAAGTTACAATATAGGCAAACAAAAAATACGTAATCTCAATAAAATTTTTAAAACAAAAAAAATAACATAAAAAAGGAAAAAAAAAAACACATGTTATACAAAAACACTACCAAAAGCAAATATTCACATTACATGATTTCAAGTTCGCTTCATAACTCAGAGCCACGTAAACATCACAATCTCAATCATACTCAATGACTTTTCAAACCAGGTACTCTTGATCGAACACTTCGCATAGTGACCATCTGACCTTTCTATTCCAATCCTTACAAATCCATTTTTAACACATACCACAAAAAACGCTTACATCCCATGATTCAAAATGGCCCAGCACCATGCACCCTTATGCCATAGGTTTTCCATAACTACTCAGGCTACCATAAATTAAACAACAACTTGGTGATAAATCAAACAAACTTCGCCATAATACAAGGGGTACCTTAAAGTCTACTCTACCCTAAAACAGTGGCACTGGATTACAACTTCATATTGTTTACATAATGAATTGTACTTTCCTTAAGTGCACGGGCCTCACTAGGGGCCTACCATGTCGTTGAACACATGGTAGTGTCTCAGGTTGAATGCCGGAACAGGCTGGCTAAATGGGCTTTTCTTGGTTTCCCCCCATCCATCTTACCATTTAATGGATCTAACTCCGGAATCGATGATAAGGACGAGTCCAAATTGAATGTATCAATTAACTTTAAAATACAGTCATTTTTCATGTTTTTTCCTACATTTCTGTGTATCTTTGTTATTAGGACTGGATTCAGAAATGTGTATATGTATATGAACACATCTACACATACATACATTTTTTGACAGTTGGTGGAACGGAGTAGGGCAGAGTAAAGGGCACCTCTTATATGGCATGTATCGATGTGTACACGGACAAAATCAAGAGAGTGCACAATGGCAAGTTTGTGCAATTCTCTGATATTTTTTTTAAGTGAAAAAGGGTTGATGTGTACATGGATACCGAGTTTGTGTAATTCTTTCCTTTGTTATTTTCAGGTTGATGCAGAATCGCCTACTTATATGGCGGGTGATTTTTGAGAAACGTGCAAAGCAGTGGTTGATTCTGCACTTTACCCCAAAACAGTACCAATTTTTTAGCCAAAACAGGTATTTGAGAATTTATCAGCTACTTTTCCTTATGAAGACAATTTTTTTAAATTTTACTTTCAGATGTTGTTTTTGATTCTGTGTGACATGCCCCAGTTGCTGGATTAACCAATTTTGTGAAATGACTAACAAGCTAATGCACATAATACCCAGGCCTGCCTAAGAATGAATATATCCACTATTCATCAGCTGTTATAATTGTTCCTTTTGCCAAGTGCTTCTTAATCAGTGGTATCACATTCTCCGCTGATCTGTTTAATGTGAACACGTTTTCAATGGATTACGAATTATGTGCAAAATTACGAACAGCATTAGGAAATAAAAGAATGTAACAGGAATGGTTGCTACTTCTGAACAAGCGAATCCGTTGGTTAACAGTTTGAACTATTAACGCCATTTCAGGCAGGGTTTACATTTATTGGGTTCTCTATAGTGCCCCCGCCTTCTTTTTAACTATTCATTTAGATATAATGCTTGTAGGTTCCAGAAGCATAATTTAATTTAGATATAATATGTTATCTTCATAATAAACAAAACTTTTGCAAGATTACATGAAAGGTTCAAAAATAGACTATGAAAGACTGGAAGTATTTAACTTTGCCATATGTGTTTCCAAACATGAAATAACTTTTTTCACTTGAGTCCTGTATTAGTTCGTTACTTTAATATATAATTATTATTTACTATCTTCGACACCTACAAATGGTTTCATTAATCCAATACACCGAATCAGTAAATAATTATCGAGTATCATATTTCATATCAACAAAAAAATTAGCTTTAGTCCTATTTTTTGAGTGCATTCTCAATTTACTCTTTTGTTAAATAAAAATATTCTTCTTACTCTGATGTAGAAAAAGTGCTTGGATTATTACCTAAAATCTCGGTCTTTACAAGATCTCGTGCACATTAGGGTTAACAACAAACACCGTTTAAAGTTTCATGACCAAAATATTTTTAGAATTTCGAGAGATCTTATACAAATGGAACATTTGGGAAACCACTTATAATGAAGTTGAAGCATGCAAACTACAAAAATTACTAGCTTACCATTTTCTTGCCTGTACCACACGCTTACTTCCCCTAACGCACGAAATTTTCAACGTGTATACTTCGGTTATCAAGTTTAGGTGACTACATCCTGATATACGCGATTCGATTCACTTCTAGGTGACGCTTTCACAAGTTAGCTTCGTGGCAGATAAAAAACAGTATCGTGATTTAATCTCACACATCCGAAAATGGAGTTGCTAAGCTTCTGTCTACGAGTGCAGTGTTCTACTTATAGACAACAAGTTACATATATATATATATGTACAAGTGCATTTACAAGTCCATCTTGCGTCCATTGCTATCTTATGCATGTCCTGTATTCATGTCTCTCAAAGAGGAAAAAAACTCCAGACGGATCAGAACTAAATTCTGCGCCAAGAACTCTCCATGGTATGTAAGAAACAATAGAATTCACCAAGAACTGAAAATGGAATTATTAAGAACTTGTTACTACCGAATCGCAAACAACTTTTATGAACGACAAAAACTGGTTGACAACTCTGCTGTGAAAATATGTCTATATGATGTTAACAATCCTATGAAATCTAAAAGACCTATAGCAACTCTGAATACGGAAAATGATTAAGTTCCGTCTATGTATGTGTGTTATCTCTGCTAATTTCTGCTTTACCTGTGTTCATTTACTAATTGCATATTCAATATTCACTGTATTTACCTTTCATTATTTAGATATATTATTGTGAGCTAGTTTGTACAAGTTTCATATTTATCTATATTTAATCTTATTTCTCCTTCTATGCACTAACCGTTAAAAAGCACCAAAGTACTCGTAGATTACCTACGCTTTTCTATTATGCTTTCAGTATCCACACCAGTTCGGCGGCTTTCTGGATTAAAAGCATACTACCATACTCATCACAAATTATTATCTTTTACTCTATTCTTATAAATAATCATCAAAAGAATCTTAGAAAAACTTATATTTTAATTTTCAATATTTTATGCATTGATTAAGAATGTCTAATTGTTCGATTAGTGGTTAGGCTTCGTGCCTAGGTTCTTGGTGAGTACACCATTACCCAGAGAGTATATCTACAAGCGGTGTCAAACACCGGAGTGCTTGGTCCTAAGACCTATCTCCATTGAGAAATAATATATCTCAGCGAATATATCTCAGCGAAATAGAAATAGATATACTAAACTACATAAAAGGGAGTAAGTTGAAGAAAAATTTGTAAAGACTGAAGTATGTGTCACATACGAAAAACATTTCCAACTAAGAACATAAAGGAAAAGCTGTCGTAAGGAGCTCAACTTTAATTTACTAAAAAAACAAATCAATTAAGCTGATTCTCTATTTTGAAAATGTTTGAAAATCTTTTGTTTAAGACAGTCGGTCACAAAAGTATTCGAACACCGGTACCCTATCAGAAAATGACAAGATGGCGTTTTTTTTCTCTTTCTCTCTGTGTGTCGTGTTATTCCATCCTAGGTTTTCTTCTCCCCCCCCCATCTTGGAAAAAACTGGAAAAAATTGGTTACGATCTCTTTTTGAATGGGGAGATGCCATTTTGAGAAAAAGCTGACGACCCTATCTTGGAGAATGAACATGACCGCTCTACACACCCTTTCTCTCTCTCTCTCTCTCTCTCTTTGAATTGGGAAGCCATTTTGGGAAAAAGCAGACGACCCTATCTTGGAGAATGGAAATGAACGCCTCTCCCTCTCTCTTTGAAATGGGAAGCCATTTTGGGACCCTCTATTCTTGGGGAGGGAGAAAACTGAAGTCTGCATTTCGCTGTCTCTGAATGCGGAAAGCCCTTTTGGGAAAAGCGGACCCTCTTCTTCTGATCTTGGAGAACTGGAAATGAACGCTCTACACGATCTCTCTTTGAATTCAGAAGGTATTTTGGGACCTTCTAATGTTGGAAAACTGAAATGAACGCTCTACACCTTCTCTCTCTCTCTCTCTCTCTGAAATGGGTAGCCATTTGAAAACTCCCTAACTTTGGAAAAAAACAGAAATGAACGCTCTACACCATCTCTCTTTGAAAATGGGGGGGGTGTCATTTTGAGACCTCCCTCCCCTAAACTTGGAAAAAAAAACTGAAATGAACGCTCTACACTTTCTCTCTTTGGACATGGGTAGCCCTTTGGGGACCCTCTCCTCTTGGTAGAAAAAAAAAGAACTGAAGTGAAGGCTCTACACAATCTCTCTTGGAATGGGATCCATATTTCGGGAAACGTGGATCACCTCATGCTGGAAAACTGAAGTGAACCACCAAGATTGGACTCTATATAATATTTTTTTTTTAATTGACATCATGACCCTCCTCCAATTTGTTATTAAAAAAATTGTTTTTTTTGTTTTTGTTTTTATCCCATTTCCGATGTGATTTCAGAAATGCAATTCCATAACAGTTCAATTTCATTCGAGGTTAAATGATCTAAACAGTCTTTGACCCACCCATCCGTATGATTATTTTCTTCTCCTTCCTGTTGCACCAAATTTTGTAAGTCCATATAATCATTCCATACGGGAAGGGCTGGATCCTCACAAGGCTGTCTTGAAACACTTGGAGTCTCTTTGGGATGAGTGGAGGGATCTAGGATGTCTGGACCCGGCTGCGATTCTACCTCCATGATTTCTGGACCCGTTGGAACTTGTTTACCCGGCTGAAATTCTACCTCCATGATTTCTGGACCCGTTGGAACTTGTGAACCCGGCTGTGATTCTGCCTCCATGATTTCTGGACCTGTTGGAACTTGTGGACCCGGCTGACATTCTACCTCTACGATGTCGGGACTTTTTGAAGCTTGTGGACCCGTCTGACATTCTACCTCTACGATGTCGGGACAGGTTGGAGAAGAAGAAGAAGAAGAAGATACTGGAAGAGGTTCTGTCTGTGAGGAGTCCGAAAGAGGTTGCCTGTTTGAACAAGTCGGGGAAGAAGAAGAAGAAGAAGAAGCTTCTGGATTCTGAAGCGTATCTTGCACGCCAGGTAGGTTCCGGTAAGTCGACCGTTTTTTAAGAGGTAATTTTTTTTCTTCCTCCTCATCTTCAATTGTGATGACTTCAATTTCATTCCGTTGCCGGGTCGATTTTGTTTCGGGCCAATGACGGTTTGGTCCAGCTCCTCTTATCATCTAAGGAAGGGATGGGTAAAGGTGGCGGGGGGTTCTCTTCTTCTTCTTCTTCTTGAAACATCATCGGCGATTGGAAAGAAATCTCCTCTTTCAATTGTTTCCAAAGCGAGTACGAGCACCGATCGACGAGAAAGAGACTCTTCTGGGTTGTGACGATGAGATATTGCGTTTTCGGGGGAACGACATAGTTTTGAAAAGGTCTTAGAATATATTTCTTATATTTCATCCTGTCGCTGACTTTAAAACTTCTTTCCTTCAGATTGGGGGACGATGATTCGTAATAGGCGAGAGGAGCGGCTGTGGTTTGAACAATATGAACTTCGTCCTCAGCCGTCGTTCTCACTCCAAACGTAAAATATCGTTTCGTGAGAAAAATATTCTTCCACCGAAAACTCGTGCGCGGATCTGTATATCGCCGGTCTGTTTGAATGGGCCGTCTCAAAGCTCGATCCATCCGATTCCAAGAGAAGGGAGATTCCTCTTTCTTTCGTTTGTTGCGATTCGAATAAATTTCTGTATATATTCTGAACGAGCAGGTTGGAGGATTCGACATCTTGGTTGAAAGAAACGATCGCTTGATGAGGTGGTAAATGCGGAATAAATGTCGCACAATGACACGCCAAAAAAATTTTCAAGTTGGAGATTTGCTTTAGCGTCTTCAAATCCTCCCCGTTCGAAATCCGTTGAGTTGGAAAAACGTCTAATAGCGACATGGCTCCCAATGGAAAAGAAATGATCTCGCCCAGTACTCTCGTCTTTTTATATATCTATATAGACACACACAGACACACATAGAGGCTCTATGACGTCCGTTTTATTTGTTTTTTTTTGTTTCTCTCTCTCTTCTTTCCAAGAAATCTTATCTCCATGACCTCTTTTTCTTTTCTTAAAAAGATGAATGTGTGTGGGAATGAGGAAGTGAAAGTAATAATTTAATAAACAAAAAATTATCCAACCATGACCTTCTTTTTTTTTTCAAAGTCACCCTTTCCAATCCAAGGACGTCCAGAGATAGAGGAAGCAGGGAGAGGAGGAGAGAAGGGAAGGTCACACTCTCTTTCTCTCTATAAATAAAAGGGGAGAGCCCCAAAGTCGTATTTTTGTCCAAGTGGATCATGAGGAGGCATCCCCAGCTCACTACGTGTATTCCTTTCAAATATAAATATGTTGATCTTTCCTTTTATATCATCCAAGGAGTCGTTTACCTGAAAGCCTCCGATTTTTCAAAATGTGCGGGTTATTATACCGTGGGGAGTTATCAAAAGATGCGGGACGAATTTTTATCCGACGAAAACGTGTTGATGGCTCGTGACATTCCACCTTTGGATGCACAAATTTTGTTAATGAAACGAGCCAAATATTTTTACACGTCCCACTTTCTAACCGTCTCGCAAATGAATAGGATTATGGATCGTCTTGAGAAGACAAAAGGGATTCTCGTTCATTTTAGTGAATGGTTGCACAAATGTTTGCACGAACCTCTCTCGATCGAGAAGACTGGGAAGAATACCTATTATATTCTTCTCGAGGACTCTCCTCCTTCGTCTCATCATTAGAGAGGCCACGACTTTTGAAAAAATCCTCGAGCAAGAAAAAATAGAATGGTGGAACAACTACCCCATCCCTCTCCCCGAGCATCAAGAGGAGCCTGTTCAGAAGAAAAAGAAAAAACCTTTCCAAAAGCCTATCCTCATCCTCCTCGATAATGATGGGGATGAGGAGAAGCCTGTTCAGATTCCTCTCAGTTTGTCAAAACCCGTCGAGGATGAAAAACCTCTCCCTTCCTCAAAACCCCTTGAGGAAGAGAGACCCCTCGAGAAGGAGAGATCTCTCCCATTGTCAAACCTCCTCGAAGATGAAAAACCTCTCCCTTTCTCAAGACCCATCGAAGATGAAAAACCTCTCCATTTATCAAGACCCCTCGAAAATGAGGGACCTCTCGATTTGTCAAAACCCCTCGAGGATAAGGGAACCAAAACTTCTCTCTCTTTCGAAGAGGAGGGACCTCTCAATTTGTCAAGACCCCTCAGAGAT